AAGAGTGGAAACAACCCACAACAGAGGAAACTAACCAATACGCTTGCGGAATATGCACTCAGCGGACACTGAGCTATGCGAAGCGGAACACAAATAATAGGAAACGGCAGTGCGACCTAATACGGTGAACGGCGGCTCATGCGCCAGCAGGGATAGCATGACGCGCACACAGTAACGCCCTTTCACAGAGAAAAGGCGGGCGTTTTGTGGCCTTTAGGGAGTTAGAGGCCCCTAAAACGAACAAAACGTTGTTTCTAACAGGTATCGGCTCAATGAAGGGACAATACGACACAACCGTTGGAGAAACATCGAAATATTACTGGATACAGGAGCTGACCGTTCATTCATAAGTGAGGATTTGGCTAGTGAGCTGGGTCTCACTTTCAAGGAAAGTAAGGATTTCTAAAATACACACATTCGGTTCGGAAAAGGCGAAGAAGGCAACATGTAAGCTCACAAGAGGGCCAAACGTCAAGGATGCACAAGGAAATCATCACGAACTTGATTTCTACACGACGCCAATTGTCACAACGGGATACAAAACAGCACAACTCAGTGCTGAAGATTTAGCCTTCATCGCACATAATCACATACAGCTCTCGAAAGCGAGATGGAAAGGAGCTTCAAGACCTCAAGTCCTGATAGGCTGTGATCAATTATGGGACATTCCTGGACACACCCCAACCCCGGTTACAGTTACCATCAGGCTTACATCTCATCCCATCCAAACTGGGATATCTATTAACAGGGCGACAAAATAACTCGCAAGTTCGTACCCAAACAAACACAGCTGACATGGAAACCATTTCGGTAAACACCCTCACGAATTTCGATGAGGACTTGGAAAGATGGGACAAGTACTGGACAATGGATTCAGCTGGAGTTTGCGAGTTCAACGGAACAAAGAACGCTGAAAAGGAGGCGACCAACAAGCAAGTTGAGAAGTTCTTTGAGGATACAATCCAAAGGCGCAAGGATGGCTATTATGTTCGTTTGCCGTACAAGGACAACCATCCGCCACTACCGACGAACAAAGCAATTGCGCTCAAACGCCTCCACTCTACTATAGAGTCTTTGAAAAAGTCTCCGTCACTACTGGACGAGTATGATAGGACCTTCAAAGGAACAAGCAAGAAAAAGGAATCATAGAAATTGTCGAAGACCCAAATTACACAGATGGTACGATACTACATTATATACCTCACCAACCAGTGGTTACGCCCACATAAGGAAACAACGAAATTACGTATCGTCTTCGACGCCTCGGCACACTTCAGGGATAGCCCTCCACTGAATGATGTTCTTCACCAAGGGCCACTCATACTACCAGACCTCTACGCGGTGTTGGTGCGTTTTCGGAATACAAATACGTCATCGTAAGCGAACGTAGAGAAAAGGCCTCCTCCAGTGAGGACTACAAGTGAACAAACAGAGACGCGACAAGATTTTTATGATAAAAGACATCTCGAGGAACCGGTCACTGACAACAACATTCGAGTGTTTCGTTTCACTCGAGTGACATTTGGGCTCAATGTCTCCCCATACCTACTTGGCAGGCACAATCAGACATCACTTGAAGTGCGAAGTGGAAGATAAAAACTTTGCTAAGGAAATACAAAACAATTTGTACGTGGACAACCTCGCACTCTCAGCGGAGAACGAAGAAGGACGCTATCGCTAAGTCACTCAAAGCACGCGAAATCTTCGCTCAGATGGGAATGAACCTAAGAGAGTTCCAATCGAATTGCGGACAATATACATTACCCTAACCCGCAAGAAGCCTACGCGAAGTCAGCATTGCAAAAAATCCTGGGCATCACATGGAATCCGAGAGAAGACATCTTTCCTATATCATGCTCAATGTCTCCTTCGGATAACCTGACTAAACGGCAAGTAGCTCGCCAAAATATCCTCAATCTTTGATCCCATGGGATGGTTAGTCCCCCTTCTAATGCCAGCAAAGAAATTCCAACAGGATTTATGGAAGCAAGAATTTTCATGGGACGTTCAAACTACCACAAGCAGTTCGCGGCACAATGGAGATCCATCGTCGAGGACATTAATAATTTTCAAAAGCCACTTCCACGACGCTATACATGAGAGCACACCTCACGACAACATCTCGCAGTCTTTGCAGATGCAAGTGAAAACGCCATGGCAACCTGTGCTTATCTGTTCGATGAAAATTCTTCAACACTGGTCATGGGAAAAGGAAAACTCCCATCAATAAAGACCAAGACTACGATGCCCAAACTGGAGATGAATGCTCTCACCTTAGCGACACGTCTAGCCATTTCCATCACGAAGGCACTCAAATCCAGCCCCTCTCACCGTCTGGGAACGATATACATATTTTCGACGATTCACAAATTGCACTCAGCTGGCTCTCAACGAAACAGAAGGCTCTAGGCGTACTGGTCACAAACAGGTTGCGCGAAATTCGTCGTATCGTTCGGGAACTCGAACAGGAAAGAGTTACAGTGAAGTCGCCTACGTTGAACACTCGGAGAATCCGCAGATGCAGGGAACAACGAGGAATAGTCACAAGACACTAGGTTCTCAAGCCATATGTGGTGGGCAGGTCCTCCATTTCTCCAATTACCCGAAAAGTACTGGTACAACACATTCTACAACCTTACCATGGACGAGGGCACACCAGTGGAAGACCTGGATGAGAAGTGCAACATCAACGCGGTAGAAACCCAGGCTTCCCCATCACAGAGCTGCTCATCTGGGAACGCTTCAACTCTCTAAACTGCTGCAAAGAGAGTTATAGCTTTAGTTCTACGGTTTATAGAACGCGTAGCACAGCGTTCAAATGGTCTCAACAAGGAGAAAGGCAACCGCATCACACCCACAACAAGCCAAAACCCACCGAAGTTATTACGTAGGTTAGGGAAGGAACTGCAGAATCGAAGAGGTGGGCACGGAGCCGGATGTTCTTCGTCTTCTTCACTACTCCCTCGATGTTCTTATACGCTCCCCAAGCATGGCCTTGATCCGCAATCATCAATCCATACACCTGACTCGGAGCTACAGGAAATCAATGGACAATAGCCTAAGGTTATACAAGGATGAAAATCTCCTATGGAGATCGAAAGGAAGAATAGGAAACGCCATGCTCACCGAGGAAGCCAAGAGCCCTCTTTTCATCACCCCCAACACACCGTTAGCCAAGTTGATAATCCAGGAAGCGCATGGAGATTATCACTGTGGCATCGAACACACAATGAGCCGAGTACGCGAACAATACTGGATCCCAAAATTGCGCCAACAAGTACGTAAGCTCATCGGCAATTGTGTGAAATGTCGAAGATTCAATGCTCTACCCTACCACTACCCCGAAACAAAGGATTTACCAAGTCGACGAGTCACACAATGTCGACCATTTCAACACATCGGCCTGGATTTCTTCGACCTCCCTGATTGCAGAGACGGCGAAAGAATTATCAAGCTTTACGGCTGCATATTCACATGCACCGTCACTCGCCTGATCCATCTAGAGGTGGTAAGAAGCATGGATACGAAGGATTTCCTGAACGCACTCCGACGGTTTATTGCGCGAAGAGGAGTTCCACAATCGATCACATGCGACAACGCCCCAACTTTTCTTCTTAGCGCAAGTATACTGGATAACGTGTCGAAAAACATCTCAGAAGATATCCTTCGGAGTGTAACAGATAAGGAGATTGAATGGAAACACATCACCCCCTACGCCCCGTGGCAAGGTGGATTTTATGAGCGCCTCATAAGATCTATCAAGTATGCACTCTACAAAGCCTTGAGAGGCACAAAAAGGAGAACATTGGACGACATTTATACCTTCATGGCAGAAGTAGAAGCATGCTTGAACTCTCGGCCTCTTACATACCAGGGAGAAGCACAAGAAACACTGAGTTCTATTCGACCAATAGATTTCATACAACAAAATATGACACTACAGCTGCCGAACTTTGAAGACAGCAGTGGAACCAGATCGGACCCGGATTACTTACCTTCGAATGAGGCCTACCAACTCCAAAATCGACAACAAGTCATGGATGCTTTACGCTCATCGACGCAGGAAGTGAACCGATTCTGGAGCATATGGCAACAACAATACCTACTTTCCCTGCGAGAAACACACAAGCGAAAGACGTCGGATCGTCGTCTAGGGAAAGAGAACCCACAGATAGGCGACGTCGTCCTGGTGACCGATCCGATAGTACCAAGGAATGAATGGAAAATGGGCCGGATAACAGGAATCAGACACGGCACCGACGATGAAATAAGAGAAGTTGAACTTGTTACAGACACGAGGAGGAAAATACGCCGTCCAGTCAATCTGGTGATTCCTCTAGAGATCCAAGAATCACGAAGAGACAACAGGGACAACGCACCTCCAGACACAGAGCTTTCGCCTAGGAAGTGCAATGGAGAGGCTCAGGGAAATATGGAGGAACGAACACCTCCTTATAACCTAAGACCCCGGAAACCTAGGAACTATGCGGAAGAAGAAGAAGTGACAGCTACTACCGTAAGGAGTTCACGACGAGCTCCAGCAAAATGGTTTCTTTTCCATATTATGATCCTTCTAACGATCCAAACCACATTCAGCAAGAGAACATGCTTCATCAACACAGAACACACTTATAAAAGACACTACTCCGATTTAGTCATTTTACAAGGGTTTGAGGGGGGCGCACTTAGAGGAAGTCATATTCAAAAATTTTCGAACAACGAGTCGTATAGGCCCTTTCCAGATAAAGTTGCTTCCGGTCATGAAAATACAAGCGGAAGAAGAATTTTTCACCATACCATACCCCTTTGGCAAATATGTTGCAAAGTAAGGAGGTCGGACACTCGAAAGAAATTCGAAATTGAAGGCGCATTAGGAAAAAATAAGGCTGCAACTGATCAAAATTCAAGTATGAAAACCTTGAAAACTATCAAACTATCTATCAAAATGTTTCAGATGATGGAGCAGCAGTTACAAGAACAGCTGAAAGATATCAAGGAGAATGTCACCAAAGTCCACGTCGCCGTTTCTGGAGATCAAAGCAATGCTGGCGCAACGAGGGCAAACTGATACACAGACGGAGGCGGGGGAGGGCTCCCCGGAGGAGCAAAAGGAGAAAAGCATCATCGTGAAAAACGTGGAGTTTCTCGAGGAACTCCAAACAGACGATGAAGCAGGAACGGACGACGCTGGAACTGATGCAGAGTCGGAGAGAGCCCTTGAGCCCCGTCAGGACGAGAGAAAAGCGTATCGACTACGCACGATCGAGGACGACATTGAACTGAAGGAGGCCGCTATTTGGGAATTAGAGGAGCTCGTCGATCAGCTCGAAAAGCAACCCAAGTGTGCGTCGCGCAGTTTTGGGCAAGGAGTTCGCCGATACGAGGATAAGCTGGTGGCCTGCGCATTTTGCGAGGCTATCGGTGTCCATTACTCCGACGCGTGTCCACTCATTCGCACAGTAGAGGAGCGGCAAAGAGTCCTTTTGGAAAAAGGAAGATGCGAACGGTGCCTGGAGAGGAACTGTACCTCGGACAGTTATACGTGCAGGAAATTTTACGCCAAATGTTTTCACTGTAAGAATGAGGGCCATCATTCGGCCCTATGTCTGTTTCCTGAATACAGTGACGATATCCAGGTGAATTCACAATTATGTGGCTTTTTGTGATTAAGGATGCTGTGGTCGCCGCACCAGCGAGCCGGTAGTCGGCGGGTCTCGGTGGGAAAGTAAAGCAGTTGTTGTGGTGGAGTGTGTGTGTTTGATGATTCAAAAAAAAGGGGACACTCACATCAAATCATTGTTTGCCGGCGGAAATTTTTTTCGCGATCTTCGAATTTGACGAAGAAAAAAAAATTAATTAAAGGACTCGGTGTGCGCGGATCAGAGAAGCTGAAAGCATTGTTTCGAGCGGGATTCAAAATCAAACAAATTGATAAATGCTTTCATGTTTTACTTCATTTCTTCAACGGTTTGAGAATTCTTCAGCATTCGGTCTCTAGCCGTCTTTCTCAACAGTCCCACTGGAAAGAACCCATTGTGCGCTAGTCGAATTGGGAAATGGAATATGTAGGAATTCTTGTCGCGTGGATACTTGAATTTGCGATCCAATCAACGCAGAAGAGTTTCTTGAAGAAAACAATTACAATCTTCACCGATTTTTCTAGGCAAGGGAGCTTTCGCTTATGTAAAAGGGAGTAAATCTTCCGGGAACATCTTACATCGATTTGAGAAAATCAATCTCGGTCCTAGAGTGAGAAGTCGCGTCGCTCCTCTTGCTGGAGTGAAACAAATTTCAATTAGGGGACTTGTCACTAAACTGTCACAATCTCAAAAAACCAACTGATTGAGGGTGAACATAGTCATGGTGCTATTTATCCAAGTACGTTTTGTGTCAATGTGATCGAGGTTCATGAAAATAGCAAAATCTCTTATCGCCCTTTCTATTCGCTTACGTGCCGTTGTTTACGGTGTGTTGGCTAGTCGTATGATAAACAATGTAATCCGGCTGCTGCTCAGTTTCGTCAATCGGAGCAGTCATATTCCCTCACCCTCATCAGGACCTCTTTTGGAATATTCATCTTCGAATCATAAGGTTCTTTCGATGGACTAAAGCGACATTTTTTCGTCATATAAGAAAGGAAATGGATCACCAGGGTCAACAACAGGCGCGCGCATCAAGGGAATAGTGATAGGATGCTTTAGATGTTTTAGGATCATTTGTTGTTAAGGAATTTTAATTTCATGATGCATTCCAATGATGTTCGGGTTCATTTTGTTCGCTAATGTATACGTTTTATGTTGAAAGTTTATTTCGTCGTTTAATTACCCAAGTTTGAGGTATAAAAAGAGAATAAAATATTCTCTGATCCTGTCCGTGTCGGTGAGGAAAAAACGCGTATCAATCGCAATATTTGTGGAAGTTTATCGATTTTTTATGGTGCATCGGCCTAAAAAAGCGGTGCTCAGCGAAAATATTCATAACTCGGTTAAGAAGAAGCCTACAGACCAGAAACGAAATTAGTGCAGGGGAGCAATGCCTAAGGTATTTCCAGCACGCATGATGTGAACGGAGGCCCGCCCACAATGGGCGGAGCGTGTCGTGAAGCGGACAGCGTTTTCTACAAGAGCTCATAAATCGGCTCCGAGATGACTTAGAGACCGGAAAACAGCGGATAGAGGTCAGGAGGGGAAGCTAAATGTCAGGAATGGGCGTGGCTTACATCAAAGTGGGCGGAGTTTGCAATTAGGCTTATAACTCGGTTCCTAGGAGTCCCGGAGTCCGGGAAAAAAGCGTATAAGGGTTGGCAGAGGGAAAGGGGTCAACCGCTGTTGGCGGGCGGAGCATGCACCAAAGTGGGCGGGGTTTGCCACGGTACTTCATAACTCGGTTCCAATAAGTTCCGGAGATGGGAAAAAAGTAGAAAAAGGTTGGGGAAGAGATGATAGTCAACTGATATCAGTGGGCGACCCATGCACCAAAGTGGGCGGGGTTTGCCACAAAGATACGTAGCTCGATTTCGTCCCCTACAAGACCTCATAATTCGGCTCCGAGATGACTTAGAGACCTGAAAAAATGTGCTAGAGGTGAGAGGAGGAGTAGAGGTTGAATGTGAACGCTGGGCGTGGCACACCCGGATGT